TGTACTTAACGTATGGCACAATTAAGTAATCAAATAGTCATTGTACAACCCATTGTTATTTAAATCCAATCTATTTATAGCACTATTAAATGAGTTATTTCTTCACTGCAGGTCTGTGGTGTTTCAACCTCTTCAACAATGTTAGATTTTATTTTAATTCAAATCATGGACAACATTTATAGTTTTGGTTAAGTATGTTTAGTTTATAGTTTATGAATCGAGGCTTAATTTCTTGCTTATTATTTATAATTTTTCTCATAATTAAATGTTTTTGTATTATTCTTTACAGGTGGATGATATGTTAGAGGAAACAGTAATATTAAATCTCTATACTCATTTTTTATTTAATCTACATTCCTTAATATAATTTTTCTTTTACCTTTCAAATGCATTTCTATATATACACAGGTTCAGTTTCTTCAAAATAGAAATGTCAGTGCTGTGCTCTATAATGAACGTGACTTCAATGTCCTTTGTGTTTGTGGGGTAAGCCCACTAATCAAATTTATTTGTTTCTCATATTTTTTCTCAAAGGCAATGGTAAGGGCAAAGGAAAATGAGAAGCTTAAAGGAAAAAGAAAGGAAAACTACTCAATAAAGGGACTAAAAAAATACACAAGTGGTATGATTCTTTTCAAGTTTGTTTTGGAGGCATGTGTAAAGAAAATCATGGGGGAATATGATATGTTGAAGCATGCATAATTTGTGTAATTTTTTTTTGTTTTTTTACTGTAAAGTTTGTGAAGATGGGCATGGTGCTTTTAATCCGTAATATTTCTAATTTCCAAACTAAATTATGCATCCTTAAAAAACAATACACTAGAAAAAATTATAAAGGATCTTTTACAAAGATATATAAAATTTTCCAAATAGAATAGGGAAGTAATTAAAGTTTAAAAAAGAATACAAATGATAAAAGAAGGAAACAAATTGAAAGTGTATTTTAATTAAAATTTTGTTTAAATTATAATCAAGTCAAACTTTTGTAGGATTGGGTTGAAAAAGCTATGGAGCTCAAGAGGATAAATAAGACTACATTACTCTGATGGAATAGAAACAAGGTATTCTTAGTTCATATTGTTTCAATATCTATTTTTCGTATTGTTTCAATATGCTAAAGTTAATGTTTTTTAAATATTAGATTGTTTTGCATGCTCCTCACTGGAAAAAGTACACAGAAGTTGATACATGGACATTTCAAAATGTGATGGAGAACAAGTTTGAAGGCGCCCAAGCACTTTAGATGCGTCCAAGTACTTTTTCTATAGGCGTCCAAGTTTTTGTAGAGGCGCCCAAGTACTTTTTGTTGAGGCGTCCAAGTTGGAAGACATTATATGGCATACATTTTGTAAAGCTTGACGTTAACCAATTTTGTAAAGCTTCATATTGATATATACTTCAATGGATTTCTAATATTTTTGTAAAGTCTATTATCAATGTAAAAGATTGGACCTTATGGATGGTTATTGAGTGTGGACTATCAAGTGCCCTTGAAAATTCACTAAACTTAAGTGCAACAATTTAATTTAGTATCTTTACATATTTTGGTGGAAATCACATATCCTTGACATGAATTTTTGTATAATTTTAGTGTCTATTGTGTAAGATGTTAGAGTCACATTGAAAAAGAATAATTTATTAGTGGGTTGAAGGAGGAGAATGTTAATAATATTGTTGCCTCTTAATTTGATCATGGTTATGAATTTTATGTTTCTTCATTAAGAAAGACCAGTGTATTTTGATGCACTATTTTCATGGTTTGTTTCTGAATTCATTTATCTTTTCAGGACCTCTGACATTCCAACACAACTGGTTGTGAAAGTAGTTTCGGTTTGTTGTGTCATCCCTGATATTTTGGTATTAACAATAAGGTTAGTCTTCAAAATAACTTGGGTTATTTTTATTTCATTTATTTATAAATAGTTAGTTGAAACTGTGAAGAAGTTGGGAGGATTTGAATTATTTCTATTGATATTTGATGTTTTAGTAGACTAATTTGAACTATTCCTTAAACAGGGATAATTTTGAAAATATGCTAGAGAATGAGGTGGGAACTCTTGAAGGCACCACCCATAAAAGATTTGAAATTTATTATTATTTATTTCAGTTTTCTTTATATATTTTGTTCCTCTTTCTATGTGAAGTTTTAAATTAGAGTGATATTATTATTTTGAATTGATTTATTATAATTGAATTTCGTAGCATGTGTGGTATCAAAAAAAAATTGCTCGCAGTGCCTTCAGGCACGGGTTATCCCTAGTACTAATATAAGGGATGCCAAATAATTCCTAAATCTAAAATAAATAATAAATAAAAAGGAATAAATTTACATACACTTAATCACATCATAATTTTAATTTTTTTTTAAATGCACATTTCAACATAATGAACTTAAATTTAATATTTCTAAATTGTGATTTAAATTCTAGCCGCAGCCAAAACAGAATATATACACTCGTTTGGCAAGCCAAATTTTTGGGGTAAAAAGGCTATTTTAGTCACAAAAAATAAAATAAACTAAATGGTTAATAAGACAAAATATCACATCTAAATCATAATCATTTTATTTTTTCTTTTACAAAAGTCAAAAAAATCAAAAAACCTATCTCATACGAGACTTTTTAGCCTCAGATTAAAATAGCCAAAAAACTAAAGAGTTAACCCACATCTCAAACAAACCCTCTATTTACTATGGCGATTAAATTTGGTATCCAAATTTCAAAAATGAACTTGCCTTCTTTCTAATTCTTCTTTTTCTATTACCACTTTTATTTTAATAATTTAAACGTTCTTTTTTATTATAAATTATTTATAATAAATAAAAAATTATAACTGAATAATTTTATTATATATATATAATTTTTTTTAAATAAAATATAAGACTGCCATGGTCCTACCATCAGAGCTGCTCAATATGTTGCAAGCAACAGAGGATCTTATTAAAAAGAGCCAACCCACTATGATGATAGGTGAGAAGGAAGGTCCTAGAAAATTCAAGCCTAAGGGCAAGAACAATTTTAATAAGAAACCTATGGGCTCCAAATTCACTGGAAAAACACTAGGTGTTTTTAAAAAGGGCATAGATAAGAAGAAAAGCAAAGGAAATTGTTTCTATTGCCGAAAGCTTAACCATTCGAAGAGCAATTGCTTGTCATTATTTGGCAACGTTGAAAAAGGACAAACCTTCGGAAGGTATGTTAAATTTGTTTATTATTGACTCTGGTGTGACCTCATATATTTGCAATGCGTTGCAGGGGTCAAGGAGACCAGAAGGCTCAAGGAAGGGGAGATGCTAATAAAGTTGGAAACATGTGTAACAGTTGCTATAGTTTCTATAGGAACTTCTTATTTAGAATTATCATTTAATAGGACTCTAGTTTTAAAAGATTGTCTATTTGTGCCAAATGTTCGTAGAAATTTAATTTCTGTTTCAAAGTTAATTTCGTTGGGATATTGTTTTTCCTTTTCTTCAAAAGTTGTTATTAAGCACAATAATAAATTTGTGGTTTCTGGCATTATAATAGATGGTCTTTACTTTATTAGTCCTATTGATAATTCTATTAATTGTGTTGAGAATGATACATCCACTGGTATGTTACCCCTTAAAAGAAAAAGGGATGTTAATCAAACTTATATATGGCACTTGAAACTTGGTCATATCAATTTAGAGCGTCTAAATAGATTGGTCAAGGATGGGCCTTTAGATTTTTTGAAAATTGAGCCCTATCCAATTTGTGAGCCCTGCTTGCAAGGAAAAATGTCTAAAATTCCGTTTTTGGGAAAAGGAATTAGAGCCACAGAAGTTTTGGGACTAATACACACAGACGTTTGTGGTCCAATAAATCACATGGCAAGAGGTGGTTTTTACTATTTCATTACATTCACCGATGATTATTCTATGTATGGTTATTTGTACCTAATGAAACATAAGTCTGAATCCTTTGAAAAGTTCAAGGAATTTCGTAATGAAGTAGAAAAGCAACTTGGAAAAAGCATCAAAGCTCTCCGATCAGATCGTGGGGGAGAATACCTTTTAGATGATTTTCGAAATTATTTAAAAGAGAATGGCATCATATCTCAATTAATCCCCACGGGCACACCACAAAATAATGGGGTGGTAGAAAGAAGAAATAGAACCTTATTAGATATGGTTCGTTCAATGATGAGCATGTCAGAACTACCAATTTCCTTTGGGGGATTTGCATTAGAAATTGCTATTTATTTGTTGAATAGAGTTCCTACTAAATCAGTTCCTAAAACTCCATATGAATTATGGACTGGAAAAAAGCCTAGTCTAAAGCATATTAGGATATGGGGCTGTCCAGCACATGTAAAAAAGCAAAATGTTGATAAATTGGAATTGAGAACTGATAGATGCATTTTCCTTGGATATCCTAAGACGGCATTTGGTTACTATTTTTATAATCCTAAAGAACAAAAAATTATTGTTAGCAGAAATGCTATTTTTTTAGAAGAGGATTATATTTTCAATGAAAATAGAACAAGAATTGTTCTTGAAGAAGTAACTGACATTTCAATGGATAGGGCAAGTAGTCAAAGTGAAAGACAAATAAGTAAGCCCACTGAACCAATTGTTGCACAAGAACCTCGGCGTGGTAAAACGATCATTAGACCTCCAGTTAAGTTATCACTGTTAAATGAGATTTATTATCAGATGGAATCAGAATTGTCTGATGATGATCCATTTACATACGAAGAGGCAATTAATGACAAAGATGCTAGCATTGGCAAAAAAGCCATGGAATCTGAAATGGACTCAATGTATTCTATAAGGTTTGGACCTTAGTAAATAACCTGGGCACGTTTGTTTTGGGAGATAGAATGGAGGGGATTGATAATGAGGGGATTGATAATGAGGGGATTAATAGTGAGGGGATTAATAGTGAGGGGATTGATAGTGAGGGGATTAATTAGTGAGGGGATTGATAGTGAGGGATTAATAATGAGGAATTGTTAAATTATTTTTATATAAAATAATAAAACAAATAAAAAAATATAAAAAATTAAACATTATATTAAAAAAAATTCCCAATATATAAAAAATAAAAAAATTTCTAATCCCTTCACTTATTTCTAATACCATCTCTACCTCCTCCTTACCAATCCCCCTTCCAAGGTATTAGCAATACCAAGGGACTAATAGTCCCAACCCTTTCTCTGCAAACAAACAAGGGCTTTGGTAATACCTTGGTATTACTAGTCCTAATACCCTCTCTATAGCCCAAAACAAACGGGGCCTGAGGGTATTAAACCCATAGGTTGCAAATGGGTATATAAAAGAAAATTAGGACCCAATGGAAAGGTAGAGACCTACAAAAGCAAGACTAGTGGCGAAAGGGTATAACCAAAAGGTTGGTATCGATTATGAAGAAACTTTTTCGCCAGTAGCCATGCTAAAGTCCATAAAGATTCTTTTGTCAATTGCTGCACACTATGATTTTGAAATTTGGCAAATGGATGTTAAAACCGCATTTTTGAATGGTTATATTCAAGAAGAAAATTTATATGCACCAACCAGAAGGTTTTATATCTCATGGTGCAGAAAATAAAGTGTGCAAATTAATGAGGTCATTTATGGTCTCAAGCAAGCATCTCAGAGTTGGAATATTCGTTTTGACGAGGCAATCAAATCTTTGTTTCTCGCAAAATATGGATGAACCTTGTGTTTACAAGAAGGTCAGTGGGAGTGCCAAAGTATTTTTGGTTCTCTATGTTGATGACATACTACTCATTGGGAATGATGTAGGAGTAATGTCATCAGTCAAAGTATGGTTATCTAATCACTTCGCAATGAGAACCTTGGTGAAGCTAGTTATATACTCAGGATCAAATTGTTTAGAGACCGAAAGAAAAAATTACTTGGACTCTCACAAGTCAATTATATTGACAAAGTCCTAGCAAGATTAGCATGCAAGATTCCAAGAAAGGGTTCCTACCCTTTAGGCATGGAATTCATTCTCTAAGGGAATTGGCACCAAAAACACAAGAGGAGAGAGAAAAAATGAGAAATATTCCTATGCTTCGCAGTGGAAGCCTCATTGTATGCAATGCTTTGTACTAGGCCTGACATTTGTACGCAGTAAGCGTTGTGAGTACGATTACCAATCCAATCCAGGTCCAGAGCATTGGACAGCAGTGAAAACATTTTGAAATATTTGAAAAGGACTAAACACTATTTTCTAGTGTTTGGTAGGTGAAAATTTGGTTGTTGAAGGTTACACCGATTCAGATTTTCAATCTGATATCAATGATAGAAAATCAACTTCTTGGTTTGTTTTCACTCTTGGAAAAGGACAATAAGTTGGAGAAGTTGCAAGCAAGATACTACTGCCGATTCTACAACTGAAGCAGAGTATGTAGCTGCAAGTGAAGCTGCAAAGGAAGCTGTTTGGATTCGCAAGTTCATTCAAGACTAGGTGTTGTCCCAACA